TGAGCGTTGCCTGGCGGTGGTGGCCGGGGGCAAGACCCAATCCTCTCCCTAGGACTCCTTCGGGGGCTTGGGTGTATCGAGAATTAGATATCTAAAGGAACGTGCTTTCCAAGGAGGGGAAAACCTTGTACCTCAAGGCCTGCCAAGTGTAGGGGGGCTTTTAGAGAGAAAACTCTGGTGTGCCTGGTGCAAGGGGGACTCGGAGGGGACGTGTGGGTTTTACATTGGCTTTTATTTTATACGGACAAGACCAGGAAATCCACAGCAAGCATGTGTATGTCTGAGGGAGACAAGTAGGCTTGTTTTTGATGAAACATCCCAGGGAACTGAGCTATGGCCCCATCTTGCATCCCACATTTCAGCTGGACACAAGTGGGAGACAAGGGCACTCGGGGCAGGGCTGTAAAGTTAATTTTAAGAGACCTCGTAATATGGATTGACACCGTCTGAAGCAGCACCCTGCCTCTCTCCTTCTCCCCGAGTGGTCTCTGCACGTACCATCGGGCACTGACTTAGGCCGTTCAGCTTCAAAAAAGTCTTTTGAAAGTCAAGCCTCTGTATTCTTTTAGGGCAGAGATTAGTGAAGCCAGTAAGCGCGAGCACGTGCATCGCAGGGTACACAGCAGGGAGAGGGGGTCCCGGTGGCCAGGCCAGCGAAATGCAGCAGGGGAGACCTCTCCCCAGTGCTTTGCAGGCTTGGTCGTCTTCTTACTCCTCTCCCCAGCCCCAAACCTTGCTGTGGGGAGGCTTGGCAGGGGCAATGGGGCTGCGTGCAAGGCTGCAGAAGGTTACTGGTGAGGTTACTGGTAAGGCTGCTTGGTAGCCTTTCGCAGCGAGCTCACCCACACCCACCCAAATTTCCACGCGTCTGCAGGGGCTAGATCAGCTCCTTGTGATTCGTTTTAATCTGGCACAACGCAGCAGCTTGCTGAAGCCTGGTGTAAAGCACCCGCATACGCTCCCATTATATAATATGAATCTAAGAAGATTAAATTATCCGGTCTGAGGAAACACACGCACTTCTGTGCGTACGCATTTATGAACAGGCTGGGGGGTGGCAGCAGGTGGAACAAACCCAGACCCCGCGCC